CACTTTCATTGGGAACAAACCTCAATATAAGTGAAGATGATAATAAAACTCTTTGTGTGGACTTGGTGAAGTCCAAAGCTCATATTTGTGGGCTTGATGAGGAGAAGAAGTCCTTGAAGGACAAGTTAAGCTTCCAAGAAAGTGAGTGTCATGAACTTGCAGAGTCAATGAAGAGTCTTGAATTTAAATTGATACAACTTGATAGATACCCTTCACGAATCACAAGAACTCATTAAGAGACTTTCCCTAGGTTCAGAAGAATTGAATAAAATGTTGTCTATAGGGAAGTGTATTGGTGACAAGCGTGGTATATGCTATACAAATTAACACACCACCACCACTACTCTCAAGAACATGTTTGTGAAGGGGAATCACAGCCCATCACCCCCACATGTGAACACAAGTCTCACAAAGGCTAAAATTGGTAAGGGTAAGAACTTAAAAAATTTGGTTATTTAAGAAACTCAAACTAAACAATTTGTGTGTTTCACATGTGGTGAGCATGGTCACTATAGTGCATGACTTGATCCGAAATGTGTACACCCAAGTGTAGGCGGTCAAGTTGTAGTAATAATCCGATTAAGTCCAGAGTCGAATCCATAGGGAACTGTGATTGGTGTTTTTGAGTAAGCAATATTAGAGACCAAGTAACTGGAAATTTCGAGAGTTTGGAGTGGTGGGTTTTTCTTGAATAAAATAGAAGATTCTTTTCAAGAGTTTTCTATACAAAATGTAATAGTCACCCTTTAGCTCGAGGATCAGGGCATATAATAGAGTATCCATTTTATTATGTTTGTGCTTTATAACTCAATTAACTCCCGTGTCAACAGCAAGTTAATCGGAAGATAAAGATGGACTGTAAGAATTAAGCACATAATTTCGATGTCTTTCTAAAAGTTTATAAGAATTGTCTGTGCCAAAACTTAACCCATTTACAAATAAGCAAGTGTTTCTACAAGGCATCCAACCATGGCATTAATGATCCAATCTTTGTATCATAGATGGAGTCCTTGGTTATACAAAGTACTTCAACTTTGCTAGATACATTCAATCATCCAATGAACAGGTGGAGTATAAAGCATTAAAGCATGAAGAAGTGAGTGCTACTCATCCCTTTAAGTAGAGGAGCTACTAAATGAAACAAACTAAACAAGACCTTATCTTCAATGAAGAATACGTGATTCACTTTCTACCCTTCACGGCTTTGGTAAAGCTCTAGAAAAGTGAAAGAGTTTTACTCTTCTAAGAAAGAAGGATGCTCAAGCAATGGAAGTGAAATACATGAACAATAAAAGTAAAATAAATGTAGTTACTTTTGGAGGGTTTTCACCACAACCAAAAGATGAACTATCCCTCTTGATACTTTGTAAATAAAAGCAAGTACAACTACAAGGGGAGTCTAAGCCTCCATCATGGTTGCCACAATATGAATGTAAAGACTTAGCATAAGTAAATAAAAGACTTCAACTACAAGAGGAGTCTAAACCTCCATCATGGTTGATATAATTGCAAAATGAAATCATAAACATGAAATGTTCAAGAACTAAATTAGTAAAATACTCTTACTTTACAAGAACAAGGATTGCACCCCCTTTTCTTTACAAGAGGAAGAATGCCCTTTAAGCTCCCACTATGGGAGTATTTATAGGCAAGGAAGGGGAGGGGGAGGGTAGGAGACAAGAGATGATGAGTGAATAGTGTTTGCCACCCATGGGAACTAACTACTCTACAAGCAGTCTGCAAAGGACATTCGAACGTGATCTGGCGTTCGAACGCTAAGTCTGTCTTTTCTTTAAGGACGTTCGAACGTGAGATGTCGTTCGAACGTTGTCTGTGTCTTTGCTTTGAGGACGTTCGAACGCTAGATGGGGTCTGATTCCTTCCACTCAAGTGGTCTGTGGTCTCTGAATTGGTCACTTCCATACGTCTTGAACAACTTTGACTTTACACTCAGCAACTTGGTCCTCAGTCACTCAAGACAACGTTCAAATGTGGAGTGGCGTTCGAACATTGTACTCAAGTACTTCTAGTTCTTCTTTCTTTACTGCAACATACCAGGTTCCAGTGGTATAGTCTTCTCAGGATTCCAGAGAACGTTCGAACGTGAGTTGGCGTTCGAACGTGGTACTCAAGTACCTCAGCATTTTTCCTTTGTCGACTGCAACACGCCATGTCTTAGCAAGATTTTAGAGGACGTTCGAATGTGGGTTGAAGTTCGAACGTTCTTGCTTTGTTCCAACCTTCTGCAATTTTGTACCTTATTGTGCTGGTGTTACATTCAAGTGTGATTTTTGTTGTTCTTGAGCCTTTGTTCTCTTTAGAACCTGAAATGTCATTACTTAAACTTCATCAAAGTACAATTAGTCCAAAAAGGCATAGTAAAAATTGTTAACTTTACGCACGAATCAATGCACATTGCAAGCATAATAGGGAAGTCTTGAACAAGAAGCTCATGCAACTAGCCAACCAATCCAAAGATTTGAACAACCAAGTCATGCAGCTTTCTACGATAATGGATAGGTCAAATGAGTCTAAGCATATACATGCATTATCTTCTAAGGGCCCATTTTCTAGAATGCATAAAGCTCATTCTACTCCTAAGGTCAAAGTTGACTTATCCACATCTGGAGAAATGAAAATCAATTCTACACCCATTTCCCAACCAAACCCAAGAAGTTAGAACAAAAAGCAAATTGTCTTGAGCAAATTGTCTATGAAGATCATTTCCCAACCAAACCCATTTTCAATTTTCGGATTACCATGGTCATGTTCAAATTAGTGTAGACATATAGCACATGTTTATAGCAGCTACGACTAGTTTTTCTTAGTGAGAGACAAGTTGGTATTGAGAGAGATGAGATGAGAGGTGAGATAACTTAGGCAAATGTTGTAGAGTAATGGATATATTTATTAGGATGAGCCTGAGGGAGCACTAGGTGATGGTGTTGTTGGTGGAGCAGGTACATCTAGTTAAGTTGTTAGAGACTCAGTATAGGACCATATAGGAGATTTGAGAGTTATCTTATTCATTCATGGGCCTTTACTTAAGTACTCTGTTATTTTTTCTTATTGACTTTGTTTTTGTTTATTTTCACTTGTTGGGGTGTACTTCTAGTCCTTTGTTTTGATGCTTAATAATTAAGACTTGGAGTTATATGTCATGTTTGTCACTTTCTTTATGTCTTTTTGTCCATTCTTGCTAATTGATTGTCATGATGTCTCTTAGTTATACCATTTTTTTTACCTTGCTTGTCTTGATATGACATTGGTTTGGCAATTTGTGACAAAAAGGGAGAGCATTTTGGGGTAATTTGGGAGAAACTTTTGTTTGCTAGCATGAGTTAGTGCATGAGCATAGAGTAAGGGGGAGTTTATTCTAATACTCATGAGGAGTACATACACAAACTTGATATGAAGTCACATTTTTTCTTTGTTAATTTTTCATTTGTTATTTTTACTTGTGAACACCAACAAAGGAGGAGATATTTTTGTGCATTGTCATTGCTATATTCATAGGTTATCAAGCATTTGGGCAAGTATTTCTTACGTATGTTACATATTTGCACTTGCATGAAGTTATAATGAAAATGCCCCTATGCTTCTCTTGGTGCTTACCATACTTGTAATTATGTTGTATTTCATATATATTATCCATTTCAAAAGGTATTGGTTTGAGCGGTGATGTGCAAGACTATAATCTTCAAAGCATTCATCAGAAGACAATTCATGTATAGAGATACTGAGGTTATGATTTGGTTTGTTCTAATGGTTTGCAATCTTAAATTTTCTTATTTTGCGTATTTTATCACGAAATTGCTAAAGAGGAAGATTGTTAGGATCATGATTGTAATTAGCTAATTTCCTAAATATTTTTTATAAATCTCAACCTATTTTAGGGTCATGATGCTACAAAGTTGAAGATCTAAAAACATCAATGAAAGAAGGAGATTGTGCTTCAATCAACATCAAGAGATTCTTCATATGCACTTTCTTGCTTAGGACAAAAGTAATGACCTTAGAGACCATACCACCCTTGGTTTAATTTATTAGATGTAAGTTGATTAGGTAAAATAGAATAGGTGATTAATCCATTAATGACTCCTAGATGTTTTTCAAACAAAAGTTTTTCTAAACATTTATTGTATTTTGAAAATATAAAATTGAGTCATTAATTGAACCCCACTTGAACAACACTCTTTAGTGCTCAAGGGGACAAATTTTTGTTTAGTTTCTACCTTAAAAACTAATAGGGACCATCCTATATTCATTAGCCTTCACCAGAGTGGTCTCTAAACACTTATGGATAAAATCGAGAAAGACTAAATGAATGGGTAGTGGAGACTACCCTGGGTCGCTCTTAGGCCGCTCAAACAGTCTCTGCTTTACTACCTTAGTTTGAATTTCTTTTTCATTCCAACAACCACCGCCCTCTCACTACTCGATCAATCATTCACAAATTTGTGTTTTCTTGGTTCCTAAGACAAACCCTCTTTTGAGCCTATAAAAGGTGTTTTAGAGCTTTTCTTACTAGAGATTTATTTTTTAAATCTTGAGAACGTTATTTGGACACCCTACAAATTAACAAGATTGCTTACATTTAGTGCACTTAAAGGGTTTGTATGCATTCATTACTGTATTGCCAATTTCAATAGCAGGGGGTTTAGGCTCCATTACTTTTTTTACTCTAAATGGGGGTTTTCATGTAAACATCGTCGTTATCTTTCTTACTTGCTTACTACTTTACACTGCAATATTTTTATTGTTTGCAAAAATGTTGATGTAGGCCATTGAATTAACAATTAAGACAAGACCTATTTACCTACTCAAAGTCTATTTAGGGTTTACGGAGACATCACTTCGCTCACCCTCTATTTCTGACCTATTTTCCTGTCTTGCAACTCTAAACTCATGACGTATATATGTGCTTTATTCGGTAATGAATATCTACATCAACTAATTCAGACCAACATTAGAGAACAATCAATTAATCTTTTGGCACATTGCAGATATCTTATCCATCGAAAGGATGAAACTAGAGTAAAAGATATAGTTATCGCAGTTGAAGAGAAGATATAGTAAGAGACTGGCTTTAAGTTTATGTTTTTTGGAAATTAAACTGGGCATCTCAAAACGCTATTACTACCAAACATAAAAGGACAGAAGTAGCGCACTAGAATTGCTAGCATATACTTTCATATTCATCTAGATTAACTAACAAGTAGAATTGAAATGGGGTCCACAGAGGAACATATCGAATTTTTTCATCCAATCCCACATCTTAGTAACCTTCTTGCCCCCACCACCATGTCCATGCTGACGAACCTTTAGGTTCACCACATTGCCAATAGTACCACCACCAACTTCTTCTTCCTTCACTTGAAAGCAATCCTCCAAAATCACCTCTCCTCCATTCTTACTCTTCCCCATCTTCTTGGTCTTGCTCTTCTTCTCTCCCTCTTGCTTCACAAGCTTCTCATAATACTCTTTGTTCCTCTTCTCCAACCCATATATTTGTCCTTGAAGATCCTCGATTTTCTTACTCAACATGCATACCCTATGATCTTCCCTCATCTTCAACACACACCTCGCAAGTTCACTGGCCTTTCTCTTCATTACTAAACAATCCGACACTAACCCTTTATTCTCTTCCACCAATGTTGTGACTCTGTACCCCAACCTTGCATTCTCATTCAGCAGTATCAGCCTCTCTGATTCCAACACCTCCAGCAAGCTCTTCTGTAAAACTGTTTTCCTTAATGACTCATTCGATCTATGATCCACTACACTGAGCTCATTTACTAGGATCTCATAGTCCACTGCTTTAATAACTAGCTCTGCCACTATCATATCAACGTCGGGTTTGGCTCGGGTTGGATAGGGAAATGGTGGTTGGAATGACAATGAGCTCTCAACATCAGAATCTATCTCACCACTACCATCTTCTACCTCATCAAATTGATCAGAATGGTTGTCGAAATGGATAGTTGGGATTGGTGAAGTATGTTGGCGACGATGATTCTTGGCGAGTGTTTGATTGTAACGGTCTGCCAAATGGAGGTAAGCATCGTAGAGGTCTTGGAGTAGGGCCAGCAGCTGGGGACGCTCTCTGTAGTAGGACTCGGCACGCCCAGCGAAGGTGTCACTGTTGTCTTCTTCGGGCATGTTTGATGCCAGTATCTTTATCCTCTCGTCCAAATCTGCCGAAAAAACAAACACAAATGACTGTTGAGTGATAAATTCGACCTTGAAGCAGTTGAAAAATAAACACTGGATAAACAATGCACATGAGAAAGCTGGACCCCTTGACCCATATCCCGCACAAGGAACATCACTGGAAAAATTCTGATACTCGAGAAATGGGATAAACTATTTCTGTATCCTATGGAAATTTACAATGAACTAAAGATAGAGTAATACTATTTAGACCTAAAAATCTGGTATAATTTGCTGACATATTAATGTGTTTTTCAGTAGAATCATTTAATCAACACTAAATTCCGATGTTTGATAGGCCCTACAACTATAACTCATTTCAGGTCAAGCTGAAACTCAAAAAAATTAATTCAAATTCAATGGAATTCTGAAATTTAAGATTACTTGCAAATAATCTCACTTTATCATAAACTAATCATATTAAGTCATAATCTCATTTTTATTTTATCAATATCACTTTATCATAAACTGATCATATTAAGTCATAATCTCATTTTTATTTTATCAATATCACTTCATCATAAACTGATCATATTAAGTCATAATCTCATTTTTATTTTATCAATAATGATATTTGTACCTAAACTGAAATCTAATTTGAGTACCTAATGTACATGGTGGCAGGTAAATTAATAGTGAAGTTTACTAATTGCCAAAACTTACTGCTAATCTAATAACAAGAATGCATTATTTGTCAAATCACGTCTCAGGTCCCAGTAGTATTGCTATAACTTTATATAATAACTTTGGTGAGGTAAGGGAGTGATCCAGTGGGTACAGCTCATTCCCGCAGTCGCAGGTAGTTGTGAGTTACAACCTAATCTTCTCTCCCTCCCTCTTCTCCAAAAAAAAATATAAAACAATATATCGAAAAATAATAAAATATAGACATTTTTATATAATATATATATAGACATTTATATATATATATATATATATAGTATCTTTGGTACCAAAGAGTGATTTCTTCCTACTGTGGTCTTGTCCTTAGGAGTGAATTACAAGATTGGCATGACAATAAAATACTTCCCAATCCTCTCTAGTAGTCTTGAATACCTCCGAGATTTTTGATATACTTTGTTAGTGGTTTCATTTTGAGGATGCACATAAATTTTGACTATTTTGTTGTTTTGTTTTGAAGTGTGTACATTGGATTGAGTAGCGATGTCTATTTTATATTCAAGCTTATTTCAAGGCAATGATTTGTACGAAAAAGATTACTATCAAAGTTGTAAAATTAGTTAGTGCATGACAATTAATGATGCACAAAATGTGTTTATGCACCTCCGGTTAAATATTTAATGCAGTAATTACAAAAGAGACTCAACACAAACAAACACAAATTAAGTGGTTTGATCAGGGTGACCTATTTCACTATAAAAGGCTACGATGACCAGTGTTTTATTGCTCAAGTGTAGAGTGCTCAGATATGTAGGTGGACTTTATAATTTATAGGCGCCTCATTATAGATTGAGGCACCATTCTCGTAATAGATGAGGCAGTTCAATGGAGGTGGCGCTATTCTCATAATAGGTGAGACAATTCCGTGGAGGTGGCGTCATTCTCGTAATAGCCAAGGCAGTTCTATGGAGGTTGCAACGTGCTGCGTCCCACGGAGATCTCCTCGTGNAATCATATTAAGTCATAATCTCATTTTTATTTTATCAATATCACTTTATCATAAACTGATCATATTAAGTCATAATCTCATTTTTATTTTATCAATATCACTTCATCATAAACTGATCATATTAAGTCATAATCTCATTTTTATTTTATCAATAATGATATTTGTACCTAAACTGAAATCTAATTTGAGTACCTAATGTACATGGTGGCAGGTAAATTAATAGTGAAGTTTACTAATTGCCAAAACTTACTGCTAATCTAATAACAAGAATGCATTATTTGTCAAATCACGTCTCAGGTCCCAGTAGTATTGCTATAACTTTATATAATAACTTTGGTGAGGTAAGGGAGTGATCCAGTGGGTACAGCTCATTCCCGCAGTCGCAGGTAGTTGTGAGTTACAACCTAATCTTCTCTCCCTCCCTCTTCTCCAAAAAAAAATATAAAACAATATATCGAAAAATAATAAAATATAGACATTTTTATATAATATATATATAGACATTTATATATATATATATATATATAGTATCTTTGGTACCAAAGAGTGATTTCTTCCTACTGTGGTCTTGTCCTTAGGAGTGAATTACAAGATTGGCATGACAATAAAATACTTCCCAATCCTCTCTAGTAGTCTTGAATACCTCCGAGATTTTTGATATACTTTGTTAGTGGTTTCATTTTGAGGATGCACATAAATTTTGACTATTTTGTTGTTTTGTTTTGAAGTGTGTACATTGGATTGAGTAGCGATGTCTATTTTATATTCAAGCTTATTTCAAGGCAATGATTTGTACGAAAAAGATTACTATCAAAGTTGTAAAATTAGTTAGTGCATGACAATTAATGATGCACAAAATGTGTTTATGCACCTCCGGTTAAATATTTAATGCAGTAATTACAAAAGAGACTCAACACAAACAAACACAAATTAAGTGGTTTGATCAGGGTGACCTATTTCACTATAAAAGGCTACGATGACCAGTGTTTTATTGCTCAAGTGTAGAGTGCTCAGATATGTAGGTGGACTTTATAATTTATAGGCGCCTCATTATAGATTGAGGCACCATTCTCGTAATAGATGAGGCAGTTCAATGGAGGTGGCGCTATTCTCATAATAGGTGAGACAATTCCGTGGAGGTGGCGTCATTCTCGTAATAGCCAAGGCAGTTCTATGGAGGTTGCAACGTGCTGCGTCCCACGGAGATCTCCTCGTGTGTCAGTTGTGGACTGAGTCTCTCAAGATGGCGAGGCTCACCCGACTAGCCTTCCTTGATCTTGGGGTGGGCTTGGCCTGTATATTTGAGTTGGGCCTGGTTTGCGTCTCTAATCTAGACCTAGTCTGGGCCTATCATTTGTGATCTAGGTCTGATCTGAGTCGGGCTAGTCATTTGCCCTCATGCCCGAAGTCCAATGAAACTTGGGAAAGAGGGCATCAGTAAAAATTCAAGGTAATCTTTTGTAGCAGACAGAGTATGGGCGAGAAAGGAGCAGAGGGTGTAACAAATGAGGAGTGGAGGCCACCGGAGTGCCAAGAGGAGACCGCAAGCGCTAGGAGGATGGAGGTGCTGGTGGCAGGGAGGCGAGGCACTAACAGTAGGGAGGCATGGGCGCTAGCACAAGGATGAGAGGGCTCAGGCGAGTACAGCAATGGGCACAAGCACTGGCACGCGAGGGCAAGGAATGGGCACAGGCACGAGGGTGCAAAGACTCGCGAGCGCAGGTGCGTCAACGTAGCACTTAAGGCGTGGGTGCTAGGTGCTTGCATTGGGCGTTGGTGTAGGGCATTAGTGTTGGGCGTCTAGCTGGGCATTGGCATTGTATGCTTGGCTGGGCATTGACGTTGTGCGCTGGGAGCTGGCTGCTGGCGCTGGGTACCTGGCTAGGCATTGGTGATGTGCATTGGTGGAGTATAGTACAGCACTACGACTAGTTTGGGGAGTTATTCTAGCATGAAATCAAATATGTTCCTTTGCAGGTGTTCATTTTGTCATCCTCAATATCGCACTCCATATCCTAGTCATGTAGAATGGGTAAACTATAGAAAAGCTTACACATCTGTATGTGTGGTGTGAAACAAAAAACAGACAGCAAAGCAATGGGAATGTTGGTGTTTTAGTGTGAAAAAAGCATGAAGAAGTGGCAAAACTTTAAACGGCCATAACTTTGATCTCGGTTCTCCATTTCAGGAAAATTTTTTATTTTAATCCGAGTATTTTTTTTCGAGATCTACCATAATTAAACAACCAACGACAGTTTAAGCACCAAATTTTCTTAAAAACACTTGTTTTTCACTCACTTTGTATTTCAACAACAAATTAGTGAAGAAATAAAATTTTCATGTATCATGTTCTACCCGTGGGAAAGGAAAACCTTCTTTCCAAATGGATGAAATCATAATTCTCAAGGTACTCTGATAAGGTAGAAGAAGAAACAACAGGCTATAGAGGCGGAGTTGCATCTCTTGAGGTCGAGCTTTTGGCGGCACAAAAGAGAGCCGCTAAACTAAAGGCTGAGACTGAGGTTACTTGCATGAAAACAGATGCAGAATTAGACCGAGCTTTTTGCGACTCGCGAGAGAGCCCCTAAGCTGAAGACAGAGGTTGCTTGCGTAAGACTAAAGGCAGAGTTTGGCCAAGTTTTGGACGATTCGGGAAGCTCACTCCCAAGAGATTGAGAGGAGGGAGATGGCAATGAGGGTAGCTAGAGGACGCTAACAGCATAAATCACGCACTAGAGATAAGGGCGCTGGCGGGACAAAGCTAGTGGAACGTGGATATCAGGTGCAAGAGGAGAGGGCGCCTGATGCAAGGAGGCAGGCGCCAAGAGGGGTGATGTCAAGCTTAAGGGGCTCTATTGAACGAGCTAGGCAGGCGCCATGCAGGCATGGGTGGCACACCCAAGCGGGCAAGGAAGCAAGGGCCAAGACGAGGACGCTCTAGGGCACAAAAGCGATGGCGTTGGCCACGATGTGGGCTCTAGCGTTTGGACGTGGGCGTTTGCTAGGCATGGGTGTTTGCAAGGCATAGGCGTTGGCTGGCGCTAAGCATGGTCATGGTTTGGGTGGAGAATTCAGCAATAATGGAGGATCCATCATTTTCAAGACTTTGTGGCAATAAAATACAATCATTTTATTGGAATATTTTTTTACAAAGTGAAGAAAAAGGTGGAGAACAATAGGCAGCTACTTGGATGATTTTTTGAATAATGTGGAGGATTTTGGAAGATTATATTAAAAATTCAAGCAAGTGGGAAACATGATAGATAAGGTGCCGGCATAAAGGACGTAGAGGGCAAGGTTCAAAGTATCGGCCGAGTCGAATACAACTCGGCCGAGTCGTATCCACCTCGGCAGGTAGTGATACGATAACAATACACAATACAAGACTATCACGAGTCTACCATGAATCGGTTCTGACTCGGGCCAACTCGGTTCAACTCGGACAAACTCGAATTTGACTTGGTCCAATTCGGACAAACTCGGTCGATTCACTTTTAAATCGACCTAATACGCACAACAAAGAAAATGCCAAAAACAAAAAGACAAAAAAGAAGAGGAATTGAACCCTAAATCAGACCTCTTTCACCATAATAAAAACAAAAGAAAAATGAATAAATCACTGACCTGAAAATTTGCGGTAAATCTCCCCAATTAGAGACCCTTTTACACTAATTGTTCCTACTTTCCTTCTTCTTTACAGTAGTAAAGGACCCAAGTACAAAAACCACAGATCAACGATCAACATCGCGAATTAATTACAAAAACCCTAGGCTGCTCAACGATCGGACTACTCAAGTAGCAAGAGATCCAGCTTCAACGACGATGAGTCTCGAGTAGCAGAGACCCATCGTCTCTATGCTTCCTCTCTCTTTCCCTCTCTCTCTTTGCGTTGGTCGAAGTCCGTCTGTCTTAGAGTCGATGGGTTGAGGCTTTGCCTTATGAGACCCAAAAATTTAATTCCCACCCCCCTTCTTTTTATTTTTTTTGGTTTTAGCCCAAACTTTTTAATTATATAACTTTTAGTATTTATCATATAATTTAATGAGAACTTAACTTCTTAAGTTTGTTTGTGTATATGTATTGATGATTTAATAATTAAATGTACATAATGGAGAAAATACATATAATCATCATACATAAAATACATATACATATAATCGATCTAATCAGATACATTGTAAATAATTAAATAAAGAATTATACACATATATTTTTTTATAATTTTTAAAAATTACAAATTAAATTATATTAACCTTGAATATAGATGATAATAAATATTTTTCAGTAACATCTTTATTTTTCTTTTTTGAAATGATTAATGTGTTAAATAATGTCCTTTAGAGATATGATGTATTGATGATGATATTTACATTTATTACAATTTTTTCTATTTTTTTCAAATTTTTTTGAGCCTTTTATATAGTGTTTTGCACGTATCGGCCGATACAACGCCGCGACCGATGTGTCTCAGTAGCCTCCGAGTCAAGGGCCGATACCGCGACCTTGAACCATGGTAAAGGGCAATGGCAAAAACCATGTTACTTAGCATCCACAACGACGCAAGCAATAGTCGTTGACCATCAATATTGATGCTAAAATTGCCCTCCACGTGAGGACTCAGCTCTCTTGACTTTGGCGATATCCTCAACATTCATGTAGTTCTAGAATTTTGATAGTATTTCTAGCATATTCTTTAGTGGGCGCTTCCAAACTAAAACATAAGACTAGATCAACGCAAGCCTTTTGTGAAGGCTGTCGTGGCGACTTGGCATCTAGTTCTTCAATCTAGAGAACTTCTCATTAAAACTATTCATTAAATGCATATGATTAGATACTATTTAACTAAATTTGGAATTGCACATTCATGGATTTTTGTTATGGAATTTATTTGCGCCATCCACTGTTTATGTTGTTGTGATGGTTGAAAAAAAATTTATATCAAGGCTAGACTATAGGATGACAAGGAGTCCAATAATTAATTTGAGTTGTGATTATAACTTATATTAATTTTTTTATATAGGGTGTCATGTTTTTGACATCCTATTTTTAGGAAAAATTATCTAAATTTTTTAAAAGAACAAATAAAAATTATTTTAATTAAATATTAGTGATTTTTTGTTTAGCATAAAGTAGTGCCTTTAGACACTGGCGTTTTTTCTAATGGCATAGATTTGCAAATCTTTTAGAATTGACTTTTGAGTACATCTTTTTGGGTACTACTATGAGTTCTAATTAGGTATATAACTTCAAACATATTAATTGTATGAGTTTTCAGATTAAATTTATAAAACTTCGTTTTTCATTGAAATTTGTCTATTTTTTTATTGAAATTGTCTTCACCAACATTTTTATATAAATAATTCTTTGTTGAGCATGTATGCAAGGTGCAAGTGTATTAAGGATGCAATCTAGACATTTTACTATTTGGTTGAGTCTTATGTGTGTCCATATTCAGCATTTCATTTTTTTGTGTTTACAATCAAAGTTTAATTTTTTCAAGTTGTACAATACTTTCAGGCATACAAATTATTATATATATCTATGGATTAACTTTGGCATCAAAATGTGATTTCTTCCTACTGTGGTCTTATCCTTAGGAGTAAAATTAGAAGATTGGCCTCACGTGACTAGTAGTCTTGAATACATCCGAGACCTAACAATTCACTTTTTTTGCCGTCCGTTGAAACCTGACTTGGCGAATGAGGAAGGATTTCAATCCAAACCACGAAATGTGAATGCCAAAAACAGTGTAGAATTGGTCATTAATGTAGGTAGGTTTGGTTCGTTGTATACAAATGGGTATCTGGCATGGAAATGGGCATATTATACTTGGGAAAATGTGATAGTCCTTCCAGTATTGAAAAGTCATTGTCTGATTGTACCAGAGATCTTGATGAGAATCATTTTTCTCTGCAACACGGCAGTGAGCGACTTTTGGATTTTTCGTTGGGTGTTGATATTTGATATCATTCAAATTTTGAAAATACGAAATTTAAATTCAAATATAACTTCTTGTCTTGCTAAGTATACCAGAAAGTGACCGCTCATCATCATATTCTGAATCCCTGTCATAAAAAAGCCGAAGGATAGGGAAGCAGGCTAATGTCCCTTGAGAAAAGTATGTGTCAAGCAACAATCCTGGACCCACGGTGGTCTACCCGGCATTAAATCTTTACTTACTAGTTACTTCTATTGGATAGTACAAATAAAATTTTCAATTTTATTATTTTTTTTACCTTTAAAATTTTTATCATAAATTAACCTTTTTTAGTCGCATCGCAAATAATAGCATTAACTCTGAAATTTGAGTTTTATCATTTAGGATAAAAATTGTAATTATGTGTCACTAAATTTTTTGAGTTGAACTATGTGTTACTGATCATCGGAGTTAATGGTCTAGTGGTAAAACATATCCGTTTTAAAGTCGTCATTGATTCTCAAGTGATTATCAAATAAAATTCGATTTACGGGAACTCCATATTTTGCTACTTAAGTTTTGGTGGTGGTGTGGTGACATACTACTCCAAAAGGGTATCTAACTATGACTAACCCAACATTCTACATCGAGAGAGATCCTTATAATCACGCCCGGAGGGGATTATTATATTATTATCTACGGGTCACCCTCTCTTCTCGTCTTCGTTGATCAAAAGAAAATAAGTGTAACCAAGATCTATATTTAATTATTAAAGCCTACCGAATTTAAAGATGGATGACCTAAGTTACTCAAAAATTATCAAAAAACTGTAAAAACTAAATTTGTAGGGTTTTATTGATTGATGAGACAACATGAATTTAGAGTGACAGATTAAACTTGAACAAGGTTGTTAAAATAGCACCAAACCAATGAATCTGTACTGTTTAATTGGCGATGATAGCAGAATTCACAAAATTAACTATTGAATAATTGAATT